GGAGGGGCCAGCAAGCAGCCCACAGCAGAGGGGCCCCCTGACTCCTGGTGCCTGGGAGGGGGAGGGACAGCCTGTTTGGGAGAGAAACTCACCTTTCGGCCTGGTTCCAGCCCCGTGCGCCACGCAAGGGCGTGTGCACTTTCAGGGTAGGGGCCAGGCAGCCACCCCGTTCCGGGTCCCCCGGATGTCAGGGTCCATCAAGAGAGGAGCTTGGCTGTGGGTGAACCAGGTCTCAGGGCTCTGGGCCCACGCTAGGGGGTCCCCATCTCCTTCCATGAAAATAGGGACTCGGTAACCCTGCCGCAACTCTTCCCACCCTTCAGGATAGTGGGGTCCCAGCGCCATTCAGAGCAGGGCTGAGCGGGTCACCAGGTCGAAGCCCCAGGTGGTGGCCTGATGAGGGCAGTAGCACCACACAGTGAGACCGAGGGCTGCCTGGGCCCCCAGCCCCACACAGCGAGACCCAGGGCAGCCCGGGCCCCCAGCCCCACACAGTGAGACCCAGGGCAGCCCGGGCCCCCAGCCCCACACAGTGAGACCCAGGGCAGCCCGGGCCCCCAGCCTCACACAGTGAGACCCAGGGCAGCCGGGGCCCCCAGCCCCCCCAGGCCGGTTCTCAACACAGGCGCCGGTTCAATACCCCTCTCCTACAACACAGGCCCAGAAACTGGGGTCTGGTACCCACATAACCGGGAGACACCCCTCTCCCCTTCCTGGGGTGCTGGGCAGGGATCCTGGGCAGGGACAGCCTGGGGCGCAGGGTCCAGCTATTCTTCCAAGACTGAGGCCAAGTCTTTGTTCCCTGTGAGGACTCTCGGGGACCAGCTAGAGAAGTTTTGTCTGTGTCGCCAAGGGGAAACTGAGGCAAGCAAGCGCTGACTGGGGTCTTGTGTTCACCTCTCCACACCCTAGGCCCGTACCTGGGCCGGCCAGGGCCCCTCTGGAACCCCGACACCCACACCCGGGCTTGGTCCCAGGGACTGACTGCTGGTGTGCCAGGGGACAGAGCGCCCCAAGGGACCTGGGCCTGGAAGCAAAGCCGCGTGGGGGTCATGTCCCCAAGGGCGGCGGCGCTGCTGGCCAGGAGGGAGCGGACGCCACTCGGAGGGGTCGTGTGTCATGGTGGCCAGGCTGTCCTCTGCTCAGCTGGTGACGACCTGAACTCCCCTCGCGGGCCAGGAGCTGCGAGGCCTAAATTAGGGTCTGAGGGATAGACCTCAGGCCTCACGGGGACACCTGAACCCCCGTGGCAGCAGGAATGTCCGGACCCAACCCCAGGGGCCGACAAGAGACAAGCAGAAGCCTGCCTGCACTGTGGACGTGCCCCCCCATCCCTGGAACAGCCCCTCTTCCCCAGTTTCGACCCTGCAGGGCTTATTCTTGGGCGCCCCGCCCAGCCCCCATAGGCCCCCCGCCCCCACAGGACCCCCGCCCCCACAGGCCCCCCGCCCCACAGGCCCCCAGCCCCCACTGGCCCCCAGCCCCCACAGGCCCCCAGCCCCACAGGACCCCCGCCCCCACAGGCCCCCCACCCCCACAGGCCCCCAGCCCCACAGGCCCCCCACCCCCACAGGCCCCCAGCCCCACAGGCCCCCAGCCCCCACAGGCCCCCAGCCCCCACAGGCCCCCCGCCCTGCCTTCCGGCCTCGGCTGTCGGCAGTCTGAGCGAGGGGTTGGCCGCCCCCTCCTCCCTCGCGGGGCTGTGTCTTATCTCTGGGAAAGAGATTACGGGTTTCTGACATTAAATTTTCATGCTGAAGTTTCAGCGTGTACTTTGAAGAGTGTTTTTCTCCAGCTAACACCTGGAGGGGAGGGACGAGGAGGATGTTCCGCGTCCACACAGGGCTGACTCGGGCGCAGGAGGGACCCCTCCCCACACCCCCTCTCAAGAGTGAGTTATTGATTCCGGCCACGTGAGCGCCTTCCGGGCTTGGTTCTGCTTAGACCCCCCTCCAGCCTCTCAAGTCTTGCCAGCTGCCCTGACCCCTAGGCTGCATGAGGGGGGGGACTCGAGCACTCGCACAGGGTCACACATTGTCCTTTGTCTCCTGTGGCCGGCTCTGGGCAGCCCCAACTGTCCTAACCCCCAGCCCTAGGAGAGGTGAGCCTGGAGGAGCCCCTGGTGAGGGGACAGATCCCTGCCCCAGGTGGTCCTGGGGTCCAGGCTGCCTTACCCTCTGCGGGAAACAGTGATCGGTCATCGAAAGGGACTGGCTGAGGTGTCTGGGAACAGAAGGGGCCACTTGGAAAACTCAGTCTTAACCCTGTCTGGTGGGTCATTTTGATTTGGGGATTTCCAAACATCGGGGCCACCAGAGGTCACCTTGCTGACCCGGCCTGTCTCATTATGTCACAGCCAGACTGCTGTGACACCTGACGGAATCCAGAAGGCCCCTGAGCGGGCAGGCCGGAGGTGGGGGCGGGCGGGAGCCAGGCTCACTGCATGCTGGGCCCCTACACGCCCGCCCGAGCCCTCACACCCGCCGCAGCCCCGCCGAGGGTCCTCCCGACGGCTCCACACAGGTCGGGGGCACGTCCTTACCCTCACGCCACGCGGCCCCTCCTCGCCTCCCCAGCACTGTGGGGCGAAGAGCAGTCTCAGCACGGCCCCTGCGCCCTGCTCGGTGGTCCAGCCCCATCCAGCCCCAGTGCTCCCGCAGCCCCTCCCCCGGCCCCCATCTCTGCACGAGGGGCCAACTCCTAGGCCCTCTGCAGCCTCCTTCACAGCCCAGGGTCCTTCGGGGCGCGTCCCTTCCCATCCCACTTCCCTCAGGCCATCGTTAGGCTCGGGCCCAAGGTCCCCCGTGCCCCTTGTGACCTCCATGGGGCCCCTACATGAGGTCAGCACATGAAAGAATCACCCTGAGGTCCAGCCCTCTGCCCCCCACCGAGTTTCAGAACCATCCAGCCTGCCTCTGGCCCAGCCGCCCTCCCAACCCGTGCCCCCTTTTCTCTTGGGTCCCTGACAGGCGACAGGGCCCCGCCTGGCCACCGGCCCCGTGTCTGGGTCTCCCTTCTCACACCTGGCGTCGCCCACTCACACGCCTCTGCAACCCCCAGACCGTGGCCGGCCCCCCAACGCGCCCCCTTCTGGGCACACCCTCGAGATGGCCTCGGTGGCCCTGTGGTCGTCCCCCAAGGTCAAGATGTCCCCCACTCAGAACTGGGGACGGGGCAGTGCAGAGTGGGCGAGGGCTCCGGGTCTGGCTGCTCCGTTGCTTTCCTGTCCCCAAGGGAGAGACGCCGTCCAGGGGCTCGGGGGAGACGACGGGCAGGCCAGAGATGGGCCTGGACCAGGGCGCCGGGCGAGGGGTGGACGTTTCACCCCTCCTCCGGACACCGGCGGCCCGGCCCCACGTGCCCCCGCGAGCCTGTCCCGGGCACACAGCCGGCGGCTTTGGTGGCCCTGGCGCCCTGGAAATGGGAGACGGGTCAGCAGTGCTCAAGGCCAGGCGGTGAGCTCCTTCCTGTCCCTTCCGAGCCTGGCCTGTGGGCTCAGCATGTCAGCACACTCCGCGGGACAGGCCTACTCTGCCCAAGTGCCAGCTGCCCACACGCTGCCTCGGGCCTCGAGGGTCCTTCTCGTGGGTCTCATCCTCCCCAGCCCTCCCTGCCCACCTGGGACAGTCCCTGGAGGGGCAGAGTGACCAGCGTGCCCTCTCCTCCCCTCCCAGCTGGCCTTGCTGCCCCCTCCAGCCCCCTGCTGGCCCGCTGCAGAGAGGTGGCCAGCCCCGCCTGCAGCCCAGTGGGCAACCCGGCCCCAGAGAGCTGGACGCAGACCACTGGCCAGCTCATCTCTTGGGATGGAAGCCCTGTCCAAGTGAGGCCTGGGCCCCCTCGGCCTGTGTTGTCTCTGGACACCCAGTCTGTCCACATTTCCACGGGCCCCATGTCCAGGCGCACTGGGGCTCTGCGAGGCTGGGTGAGGCTCCGGGGTGGGCCGAGGACCGCAGTGAGGACACTGGCCGCGCGGTCAGGGGCTGCGGCTCACAGGCACCGTGGCTGTGCACCGTTTGCCCCCGGCCCCTGGCGCTCGGGGCTCCGTTTCGGTCCAGGAAGCTCAGGCACCGGCGGGGAAGCCCCGGCCGGACGTGGCCCTGCCTGGCTGCAAGCACGAGGCCACCCCTGGACACTCCTCTGGCCAGGGCCACCCACCCACACGGCCACCCACGCGGCCACTTCCTCGAACCTCCTTGGGAGGCCGCCAGCAGCATCCCCAGGCCGTGATGTGCGAGGCGGCTCTGCCTGCTGTCCCTCTTGCCCTTGGGGACACTGGACCAGGAAGGAGGCAGAAGGGCCTGGGAGCGGAGCCCAGGAGAGGGCGCGCAGGTGAGGGGCTCGGGGAGGGTGGGGCCCCTCCGTGGGGACAAGTGGACGTTTAGAGAAAGGGGACAGGTGTTTCGGGAGAACAAAGAGGGTGGACAGGTTGGGCCTGGGGAAGGGGACTCTGAACGGCTAGAAATTCGAGGGCTTGAGGTGGGGGCTGGGGCCTTCCCCGCAGGGCCGCGGCCGGAGCGGGGGCCGAGGAGGGCAGCAGGGAGCCACGGAAGCTGGACGGAGGCTGGACAGAGGGGAGCAGTGTCCACTGGCCCCACAGCAGAGCCCTTCTTCCCTGCTGAGTGGGCTCGGCGTCGCCGTGTCGCGCACCCACAGTGCCCAGGCCCTCAGCCGCCCGGGGCTGTGCTGGTGGTGGGCAGGCGGGCAGCCGAGACCCAGAGCGGACACAGGTGTGTGGGTGGGAGGGTGGCCAGCGTGTGAGGTGTATGGGGGGGTGCTGAGGCCACGCTCTCCCCTGTGGCTGCGCCCCCCAGGCTGGGCCTCTGCAGGGACCATGGGGAACTGGGAGGGGAGGGCTCTGGAGAGACAGTTGTCTCAGAAATGGCTGAGCGTCCCCTTGCTGGGCTGAGGGCAGGGCCCTGGGGACTCGGGCCCAGGGTTCTCCCGTGGGGGCCGAAGGGAAGGGGCCCTCCCCATGGGCCAAGCGGCATGGAGTGACTCACTCAGAAGAGAAATGGAGGATCCTTCTAGAAGCCCAGGGCGGGTCGCTCATCTCCTTTCATCCCCAGGACCACCGGTTGACTGGTGGCATCTGGCACTGGGCGTGAGGAGGTCCTAGCCCCGTCCGTCCGTCCGTCCAGGGTGGACCCAGCTCGCTGGGCCACGGCCCCTCTCGGGCTTCATCCTCCCGTCCAGGGGGTAACAGCCCCGTCGCCCCTCTCTGTGGGGCTGGCCCAGAGGGCACCTGGAGAAAGCCCCAGGGAAATGCAAAGCATCGCATGGACCTCAGCCCCAGCCCAGTGGAGTTGGGGGCCAGGGGGGGAGACAGGGACAAGGGGCTCTTTCCTGGTGAGGTCCGCTTACCCCAAAGGCCAGTCCGGCTGCGGGCCGGCCAGGCAGCCGCTCACTCGTCCAGCGGGAGCTCGTCTGCACAGAGGGGCACCCCTGGACCAGGGAGCCTCCGGGAGGGGCCAGGCTCGGCTCCCCGTCTTCTGGGAAGCCAGGTGGGCAGGGAATAGGCTGGAACGGGGTGGGGTTGGGGACAGTTCCCGATTCGGGGCAGGGGCAGGCTCCTCCCTGGGACCACACAGGACTTGGGCTCCGGGGTCCTGGCTGGGTGGGGGTGGGGTGTTCCCAGGTAGAGTCCAGTACCCTGCAGCCCACAGAACGGGGCTCTGGGCAGCGCCACCTCCTTTAGGGCAGGTGCCCAGCCAGTCCGAGCCCCATCCTCAAAGCCCGGTGCCCGGCACGACCCGGGGGTCTTCTAGGACTTGCTGCAGCCTGGACATCTGAGAACTGACCTGTCCCAAGCTGGACGGTTGAGACTTGATGGTGGTTGTGCTGGGCTCCAGCCCGGGGTGGTCTCCAGGTGGCCGCTGGGGGCTGGGGGGAGAGGGTTGTGTTCCATGGCTTGGCCGAGGGGACAGTAAAGAGGTCCCTCTGTCTCAGCCTGTGTTCCTCCTTCCCTCACGACACGGCCGCACGCTGGTCTCCATCACAGGTCCAACCTTGACCGTCCCACCAAGGCTCAGAGACCCACAGTGGCTGCTCCCCCACCGGCCAGCTGGGAAAAGGCCCACGGTGCAGGGCGCACACCAGGGCGGCCAGGGATTGGTCGCCGCCTGAATGTCCCCGGACGGATGCCCGTGTGCCCTTGGACAGCCTCTCCCTCGGACAGGCTGTCCAGGCCGGGGACACCCTAAGCCAAAGGGATTAAGAAGAAAGGACAGACTTGACCGTCCCTTTGGCCACGCTAGTTTGTCCTTCATTGACTGTATATTTGCTCAGTGGGTGAGAACACGTTGGAGGTGAGGGTGCCAAGGGCCGGTGGTGCTCCGCGCGGCTCAGAGCCGCGTGCCCGCCCCCGCCCGGCCCGCCCCCCCCCCCCCCCGCCCGTCCACCCCCCTCTCCCGTGGCCATTTTGCACATTCCTGTGGTCAGCCAGGAGAGCAGCGGGGATCCTCTTCTGGGCTTCAGGGTGAATGGATGGTCACATGAATGGGGTGCCCTGCCCAGCCTTCTGCTTCCACCCTGAGCCCAGAGCCTCCTGCCTCAAGGCCTCTGCCCCACCTGGGCAGGAGCTGGGAGTCTCCTGTGGTGCACGCGGGGGTCTCTGGTCCGGGCTCAACCTCTTTGCACCAGGACAGGGGCGGGGAAGCTGGAGGTTGTGGGCTGGGGCAGACCCTGACCCCTTCCCACATGGGACCCGGCCGGCCTGCAGGCTGATGCTTGCTGACTTCCCCTCGAGGGGCCCTTGGAGACCCCGAGCTCCTTGACTGCCGAGCTGGCATCTGGGGCAACTGGGGGACCCTGGAGCCCCCTCAGCACCCTCCCGGCTCCATCTCCTGCTAGAGGTCTCCTGGGGTGGGGATAAGGGGAGCTCCATTGGTGGTGACCTTGACTGCAACGCCCCCAGCACACCTTCGGGAAGGACGTAGGGACCCCCGGGAGACAGGGCAGGACGAGGATATGACCTCCTGCCTCGTCCTCCGGGTCTTTCTCCTGCTGGGCCGAGCTGTCCGCAGACGCCTTCCGGGCTCTGGGTGGCCCAGCTGAGTCCAGTCCTCGGAGCCCCCAGAGCGAGGGCTGGGAGGGGGGGGTGGGCAGTTCTCTCTCCCTTCCCCCACACTCTCAGACCCGACCACTTAAGAATAATGAGGTCCAGGTGGTCCCTCTCGAGACTCGACCCTCGCTGACTGCCGAGTCCCCCCTCGCCCTCCCGCCCAGGAGCAGCTGATGACAGCCAGAGGCTGCGAGGTGACCCCCTTCGCTGTCGGGGTTGTGCAGCCGACCCTCTGGCCAGCGGTGGGTCGGCCCGCTGTCGGCCTCGGGCACACGGGCCGCGCACCCCTCCCCGGTCTGTGCTGCCGTGCGGACCAGCGGACGTCTGTCTCCGACTGCTGCCGCGACGTGGAGCTGCCTCCCCGTCAAGTCGGCCCTCGGGGGTGAAGGCCCAGGAGGACGGGCAAGGGCACGGTGCTTCCACCGGGGAGGGAGAAGTGTCTGCGCTCGCGAGATGTCGTGGTGGCCACACCACGGTGGGAATGTGCTGGACGCCCGTGCCCTTCCCTTGCAGACGCCGTGACGGTGACCTCTGTGTTCCACGTTCCGCCACAATAAAGCCAGAGGGCTGAGCTCAGGGTCACCTGCCGTAGCCATGCCCACTGGGCAGTGTCCCCTGCTGAGACCCAGGCCAGCGAGGGGACATCCTGCCTGCCCACCCTGGCCCCCCACTGGGAGACTGTCCCCTCGCCTCCTGCCAGGACCGCTCACTGCCCCAGCCCACAGCCTCTGGTTTCCTGGCCCCTGGCCCTGTACAAAGTGGCTGAACCCTGCCCAGGGCAGATGTGGCCTCCTGTGGACAAGAGGTGGACACACAGAACGGGAAGGCACACGGGCTCCAGGCGCTGTGGGCAGGTGCCCTGGAAACACTGAATTCGTCCTCCAGGGAAGGAGTGGGGGCCGGTGGGGCGGGGGGCTGGACGGGGCGGGGTGAGCGCAGACACTGACGATCCCAGAAGCCCCACCGCTCGAGACAGGCGGGCCAGGGTCCTGGCGCTCGAGCTCGGCCGGGCCTGGCCGGGCCCAGGGAAGAGGCCACGGACTGGCCGTGGTCAGCCCAAGTGGACACAATGGGCCGTGTGGCTTTGGGGAGCCGTCTCGGCAGGCAGGGAGAGAATTCTGATCTTTATTATGCAAAGGGGACGGGAGCAAGGCAGGAGGAAGTGGCTGCTGAGGGGTGGGTGAGCACCCCGGGAGAAAGGAGCGGCCTGGGGCCCAGGAGCAAGGTCCCGAGGGGCCAAGGGCCAAGCAGGAGGGCTCGTGCGCCGGTGCAGCCCGCCGGGGCCGCGGTCCAGAAAGGGCTGGCTGTGCACTTTTGGACTGACGGCACCACGGCGGCCCAGGGAGTGTCCAGGAGGAGGCCCGGGGCCTAGGTCCGCTCGCCCTCTTCACTGCCCCGCCGGTGGAGAAAGCCGCTGTCAGCAGCTGCCCTCTGTCTGCGGGGTGGTCACTCTGTGGCCATGCCGACTGCTTCTGTCCGTGTGTCCCCTGGCCACCCGCCCCTGCACACCTGGCCCGGCTGCCCCGCCCGTCTCCTGCCAGCAGCCCACACTCGGGCCCGGGCCAGGAGGAGGCCTCGGACATCCCGGCCCTGTCTGGCGACCGCCCGTTGGACTGTGTGGCTTGGCTGGGCCTTGTCCTCCGTACCAGTGACCAGGTATCAGGGCAGGAGGAGTTGGCTCTGGAGCTCCGAGGGGCTGCCCTCAGCCCGGCAAGATGGACGCTGCTGGCAGAGCCCACGGCCAGCGGGACGCAGTGGTCCCGGCTGGGAGCCCGTTCGCCTCCCTGCAGAGCCACTCGGAGGCCAGAAGCCCTGAGAGGGGCTGGCTGTGGGCAGGGGGGCTCTGGGGAGCATTCCGTCACAGCTTTCCCATGACGCCCCCGTAATCCGGGCTCTTCTCCTTGGCACCCCCACACCTCACAGCTGCCGGGACCAGCCAGCTGCTCCTCCCCCCGCCGGCCCAGGACGGAGCATGTGTCCGGGCCGTGGAGGCCTTTCCCATGGTGGGGGTGGGGCGGGGGGGCGAGGAATTTGAAGAGGAAGCAACAGTGGCCTGAGAATTTGGAAAATGTGTCCAAACGACTGGAGCACCGGGAAGGAGCCGAAGAGGGATTAGGAAAAGGGAAGATGGACACATGGTCCTGGGTGGCCGGAACGGATGGGGCGAGGGGCTCCCTGTCCACGCGGGAGAGTCTGGGGCACCAGCTGTCCCAGTCTGTCAGCCTGCCCCTTCCTTCCAGGGGCTCACCAAAGCCCTTCGACCCTGGGCTGGTGAGGGGCCCCCAGCCCTGAATGGCACCCACAGTCTGCACAGTGACCAGAGACAGAAGCGTGGGGTTCAGGAGTGATGAGCTGACAGGATGGGGGTTCCTGGGAAGCCAGAGCCTGGGACCCCCTGACCACCACTTGCACGGGCTCCGTCCTCTCTCTTGACCTTGGCCTCTTTGGGCCAGTCCCTCCGGTTTGGGTCCTCAGTGGGGGCACCCCTTGGAGAAGGGCTGAGCGTGCTGTCCTGTAGGTCTGGCCCCGGGGGACCCTCTCCAGTGGCAGCTGGTCCCAGCCCCCCGGCTAAACCCCCATGATTGATTGTGGTGGTTACTCACCAGGGGGAAAGAGCCGGATAAGCCAGCAGCTGCTGAAGGGGCAAGGGGGCCCAGGCGCCTCCTCCCTCCCCTCGCCACCCCTCCCCCTCCCGCCTACAGGGCTTCCCACGGCTCCTTCCGGCCCCAACTCTCCTGACTCCTCTCTCTGGGGTTTCAGGCCTTCCCAAGGAAGGGGCACCCCCCCAAGGAAGGGGCACCCCCCCAAAGTGGACTCCGCAGGGCTCCAGGGCTTTGCTTCGGTGACTTTAGGTAAACCGAGTCACCTGGCCCCCAAGAGATGTCACTGGGGATGGGGACTGACAGCTATCCCCCCAGGTCCAAGTCCATCTGCAGAACCGGAGCAGCGTCCGGTCCTGCTGTCCACACAGGGGCCGCTCATCCAGGGGGACAGTGCCCGGGGAGGGGGTGGGGGCAGGAGGTGGGGTGGGCAGGGCTGCTGGGACCCCGGGCCTCCTGGAACAGGGTCATAAAGGGGGCAGATGGTGAGCTGGATTTTGACCCGGAAAGCAGGGCCCGGCGGAGACGGGCAACAAAGCGGCGGTGGGGCTGCCGGTCCTCTCGGCCGCCCCTTTGCTCTGGTGTTTGCTCAGCCAACTTTGCAGACGAGACACTGTGTGCAAAGAGACCCAAGATAACCCCTGGGTCATCGACTTCTGGGCGCCCCTCCTCTGGCCTCCTCTCGCCCCCAGCCCCCAGCCCCCAGCCCCCAGCCCCCGCTCCCTCCACTTGGTTGCCTACCCTCTCCTGGAAAGTTCTGCAGGAGCCTGGAAACACAGCAGTCGCTGGAGGCCCCACCACGTAGAAGGGGGAGGAGGGGGGCTGGCGACTCTGGGGCTCCCACAGCTGCCTCACCCCTCCGCCCCCTACTTGTCCCCACCCAGTAGGACTCTGCAGGGGCTGAGAGCCCAGGGGCACCAGAGCCCCTGGCCCCTTGTCAGTCTGTCTGTCTGCTGTGAGCTCCACGTGGCCCCGGCATGAAGGCTGGGCACACAGGAGGCCGGTGACTCTCAGGCTGGCCACGGGGGCTCTCAACGAGAACAGGGCAGACCTTCCTGAAGGCCACTCTGGGCCCCCGAGGGCACTGGGCCTGGCAAACATCCAGTGCTGCCCCCCGGCAGGCAGAGGTGGCCCCGGATGTGGGCAGCCCTCACCCAAATCCTGGCCCTCGGTCCACACTCTTTGGGGCTCAAAGGAGGTTCCCCTTGAGGGGCTTGTTTGTGCTGTTCCTCCGGGCAAGGAGCAGCGGTGGGGGCCGGTTCCGGGGGCCACCAGCCCAGGCTGCCCCCCTCCCACCCTCGCCCCAGCCCTCGCGCAGGCAGCACTGCAAATGCAAGCCACATGCCTCTGGTTCATTTACACTTAATTCAGCACAATGAGCTTCCCGGGCCTTTGATGTCCCAGGACCTGCGGCCCTTAGTGCTTTGTGGGCTGCGAAACAGGAAGCCGCGGGGGTTTGGGGGCAGT